AATCAAGAATTTTTCTTGTGCTCCGAGTGAAAATAAAAAATCAGCTTTGGGATTTTTCTGAAATTAAACTTAGGAAATCAGGGGCAAAAACCCAAAAAAAAGAAAGGAAAAGAAAATCAGTTTTCTTGCGAATGAGCTTCTCGTCCATGGCGTCTTTGTGATTTAAAGCTTTAAGCCTCGACTAGATCTGTGTGCTCTGTTTCTATTGTACTAACTCGGTAGGAAATGGGTCTTCTCAAGCGAAATTCCATTAATAGCCTCCTATTTAACGGACATCTAACACCTTATCTAACAGAGGACCAAAATGGTTAACATTTTCAAAGTCAAGAACTTAATTGGATAAAAAAAAATTATCGAGGATTAAATTGGTAATTTCTCAATAGTCGAGCGAGGGACATTTCAATAATAAACTCGAGTTACAATTAAGCAATACAAACTAATATAGTAACACCACATGTGGTCGGAAAATTGGTTAGAACAGTACCGGTGTTTTTAACTCACATTTGTACTGTCCACCAGGGCGCACAATGCATTATTGTGCGCCCTGGCCCAAAACGACGTCATTTTGTACATTTTCCCGTGTCTTCTGTTATCTTCTTAAAAAAAATCTCATATTTCGAATGTACAGAATTGTATAATAGAATGTACATAATTTTATAACTGAATACACATAATTTTTTACACCATTAATAATTCAAGGGACATTGATAATTGGCATATTAAGAGGGGATATACATTACAATTTTTCCTAATATAAATTGGCATACTTATTCCAAAAATCCTGCGCTATACTAAAGAAATTATGGATGGCATATTGGCATGTAAGATTTTCTTGTATAATATATTTTAGAGCTAATTTTATTTCTATTCTTACATTTATAGGTGTCAATTCATTTTTAGTCATTTTTTTTTTCAAAGTACGTCTCTATTCACTGTTAGAAATTTCGCGTTTTCCGTCCAACTATAATTTGGTCGGTGTTTTAATAAAAATCTCAACTTTTTGTGGCAAAAGATGGATTGACGGAAAATTGGTCGGAATTTCCGTCCAACAAGTAAATGTTGGACGGAAATTTTATCCAACGTCTAGTGTTGGAAGGAATTTTGTCCAATCTTTAGTGTTGGTCGATCAACATTGTTAGAAATTGAAAATGGTAGCTATTTTAATTTTCGTCCAACATTGTTGTTGGACGGAAATTAAAAATATAGGAATACTAGAATAATGGACACTAAATAGAGAAGCGGGGAAATATATAACTTTGGGTGGGAAAACCTAATTCCCACCAAATTCCCAGCAAAATTTTCCCGCTTCATAGTCTCTAAAGCAAAATTAGGGCTTTTTCATCGTCTCAACTAATTGCTTTTATCTTCGCTGGTCGTCGCTGTCACGCCCTCTTTCGCCTGTTTGTCGTCTCCCCGTTCTCCCCATTGGAGCACAGGAAGGTCGCCAATCACCCTCCGTAGCTGCCGGTCTTCGCACATTATTTGTATATCTAAAATCCCTTAATCAACTTTCCTCTCAGTGTCTCTCTCTCGTTCCTTGCAAATCGACTGTTGACGAAGAAGCCAACGCCTTCCGCCCTCTCCTGCGAATCTACGATGAAGATGATAGACGACAAACAAAGCAAGCAGAAGCCATGGTGGACGACGAAGCTAGAAGTCAACGCCTCTGCCCCCGCCTTCCCCTGCGAATCTGTGAATCTGGGTATGTTTTCTTAATTTTGTTTTGTATTTTCTTCTTATTATTCTTCTTTCATAAGAATCGCCATGATTTTCAAATCTATTTTCTTCCCTAAATGTTGGTATATTTTTGCTGCTAGTGCTACTTCAGAGTGCAATTAGGGTTATGAACTAAATTATGAATACATTCTCTCCACCAGAAGTGATGCTTTTCCAGGATGGTAATAAAGAATTTATTTTGTTATTGATTCTTCCATTTTGTTATTGATTCTTACATGTATGGTTGTATGTATTGACATCTTTTCTATTTGATGATATTAATTTAGTTATATCTTTGAGATATTCTTTAACGATCTAGCATATTAATTTCTAGAACTTTGCATATGTTTAGGCCAACTATATTTGCTAATAAATGTATCCGTCTGTAAATGTTGAACTGCAGAACATAGCTTGCACCAAATTCCTTGACATGGGAACCTATTCTGTTACATAGAGGCAATTATGTTAGAGCTTTGATCTAGAAATTGCATTCTGTTACATTGGGGCAATTATATTAGGCTCAAGAACTTTCTGTGGGAAACACAAGGAAAAACTTTCTGTTGTGAATAAAAACTAGAAGTGTTTACGTATTAGAGTTTATCTCAATCATCATCAGTTTATTTTCTAAGAATTGTTTGTGAAAGCATTGGAATAGAAAAATGTGTTGATTGAACAACCTTTGCCTAATCTATCTATGAGGTTACATGATATTAATATATTCCAAAGTGGATTTTTTCAGTCAGACAGATAACTTATACTGGGATAATCTCAAACTACCTCAACACAAAATTTAGACCTTAATTATATTTGTTCATTAGATCAATAACCTAGGATGACCGATTCTGAAAAAAAGAAAAACTAGAGTTTGTCTGCTATCCTATAGCAGCCTTCTGAAGAGTGATCTCATCTCATCTCTCCTTTTCCATGTGCGCAAGAAGGCTGTTGATGAGGCTTGGATTATTATTTGGCTTAATAATTGCTCCTCACTATATTTGGCTTAATACACTCAACACATGTGATTAACTCAGAAACAGTGGTGAAGAAGTGCAGAAAGTAAGATCTATTTGGAGAACTTACATTCATCTATAGCATCAAGAAACTAAGGTCTATTGGGAGAAGAGGAGAAGAAGAAAGGGCTTTCTCTTTCTCCTGCTGATTCTATCTGTAAGTGTTCCATCCCCCATTGGTTAATTGGTGAACTTCATATCATGAAATCCTATAACTAAAATTAAAATACGAGTGTTTATGCTTATGCACTTTAATTTAATGTGGTTGCTGAAATGGAAGTTTGATTAATAATATGTTGAGGATTTAAGAAGAATGTAAACATTATTGCTTATCCAACTATGTATATATATGAATAAAGCTGGGGATCTTATTGTTTGTCCTTTGGATTAAAAGTTTGGTTTCTTTGAGATAAATTATTTTGGAACTTCATGTTATCAATACTGGCAATGTATTCCTTTTCAATTCAGGTGTCCAAAGGAAGAAATTCACCATTCACATATGTCATTGTTGACAACCAAAAGTGAGTGTGTTAATCTTTGCAATCTGTGGGAATTTTATGAGGTTCTACCATACATATTACTATTATCTTGAAGGTCGTTGTTCTATGATGTTCCAGAAAAACTCGTACATGCATTTCCACTCAAGGATATCCACACAAATCAAAATTGTCTTCAGCCCTTGATGGAGTAAATATTGTCTACTTAGATGGAAGATTGCATGAGACTGCTTTTCTTGTAGCGCAAGAGGTAATTGTCATTTTTATTTACTTTTCTTCATACCCATATAAGTTACTTTTTATGAAACAAGATTACAGGTAATAAAATGATCATTTCTTTATATGATTATGGCATCTAAGAGATTATGTTTTCATTCGTTTTTACTAGTATACTGAATGTTATTGTGCATTTATTTACCTTACATTTTTATTTTGGTGTTTTTTTTTTTTCTGGTTATATGCAGATTGTTGGTCATTTTTGCTAGAAATCACTTTTTAAAAATGCTGATCAAAGCCATCATATTAAATTAGTTGCATTTGTAGGTATACCCATCATCTACACTTGATCAAAGTCATTGAAGTAGAAGGCTGTGGATTCTGCATTGATCGACATTGAAGCATTGCTGGATTTGAAGGCTTATTTGGGTGCATCGATCATACTTAAGTAGTATTGATTAAGTAGTATATATTTTCATGATTTATTTATTTATTTATTTTTATTTTTTTTGTATGATAATAGTTCATTGTTGGAAGTACAATGGACATGACCATAATTTTGATGTTTAAATATATTTTCAATTTTCAATTTAGTGTGTCTATTAATTTATTGATGATATATAATTTATTAACAATAGGTAGAAATAAAATTATGGTAATATAAAAATAATAAAAATATTTCATATGATTTAAGATTTTCCTACCAACAATTGGAAGGAAAATCAAAAAATATAATATGTGAGTTTTCCGTCCAACATTGGTCCGGAATTTCCGACCAACGCATGTAGTTGGACGGAATTTCCCACGTTTTAAGCATGGTGGGTTATTGTCTGAAATTTCCGTCCATTTTTAACTATTGGAAGCTATTTCCGACCAAATATTGGAGTTGGACGGAATTTCCCACGAGCGTTTTTCCGAACATTCAATTTGGTCGGTATGTTGGACGGAAACCTCGTTTCCGACCAATATATCGCGTTTCCGTCCAACATTCGTTGGACGGAAAACGCGAGATTTCCAGCAGTGATTTAGCACTAGTATTATTGTGACATGATATTTTTTTATCATTTGTCAACAAATATGTTTCCACAAATTTCCACATATGCTCCACGCCTCATAACCAACCACATCATGCATTTAAACAACACAACAGAGACATTAGCAACATTATAACAGGGCTAAAAGCCTAAAACACAATGACAACATCCACAAACTACAGTATTCTGCATGCAGTTAATTTTAAAACATTCATTTGCTTGTCTATTTTGTTGGGACAAATCTTACTATTCTTATATTAATGAGTTACAAGATCGAGTTTATTACTGAAATGGTCCATCGACTACTGCAAAATTACCAATTTGGTCATCGATAATTTATTTTACCCAATTAAGTCCTCGACTTTGAAAATGTAAACCATTTTGGTCCTCCGTTAGATCAGGTGTTAAAAGTCCAATAAATGGAAGGGTATTAATGGAATTTCGTTTGAGAAGACACATTTCCTACCAATTAAGTCCTCGACCTTTCTAGTCTCTAATTGGTAATCGTTGCACGTCTGGGAGGGTTTGTCCCGAAACAGAAAAATGTTCTCTGGCGACCGGAAAAACAAAAAGCCTGGATCTTGATGACCTGCTAGGAAGCTACAGAAGAGCAGAGGAGAAGAAAGCCAAAAACTCGGAAAAAGAAAAAAAGGGATGAACGCCGGAGATTAGACATAGAGAAGGGGAAATGAGAAACAAATCTGGTGATAATTGAGAGAGTGAGAAGCAGGGGAAGGGAAGTAAATGACGAAGGCAGGAAGCGATATCCTCTTGCGAGAAACTTCAGATTCAGACCATTGCTTGCAGCAAGCAAAAACGCAACTTCCAACAACTTCAGATTCACCGACTTGTTGAACCCATCTCACTACCCTCGCTGCAATGCCACCTAATCTCAAGCCTCAAAGCCTGCGATAGAGTATGGACTTTTAGTATATTTAACTATTTGCATTATAATTATATATAAATAATAAGAATCAAGAATTTTTCTTGTGCTCCAATAGTGAAAATTAAAAATCAGCTTTGTGATTTTTCTGGAATTAAACTTAGGAAATCAGGGGCAAAAACCCAAAAAAAAGAAAGGAAAAGAAAATCAGTTTTCTTGCGAATGAGCTTCTCGTCCATGGCGTCTCTGTGATTCAAAGCTTTAGACTAGTTCTGTGCCTCTGTTTCTATTGTACTAACTCGGTAGGAAATGGGTTTTCTTAAGCGAAATTCCATTAATACCTTCCTATTTAACGGACTTCTAACACCTGATATAACAGAGCACCAAAATGGTTAACATTTTCAATGTCAAGGACTTAATTGGATAAAAAAAAGAGAAAATTTCAATTTTGGTCACATGACTATAGGGGCTTTGTTAATTTTAACACCTGACTTTTAAAAGTGTCAATTTAGTACCTTGAGTATGTAATTTTTGTCAATTTTGATCCCTCCGGCCAAATTGACGGTCAAATTTGGCCGAAAAAATTTAATCAAATATTTAATCTATAATTTGAGGGGTAAAATGGTCTTTTGATCATTTCTCCTAATTGGTGTTGACCGGTACTATATTTGGGGCTCGTCGTCGGCGTCTGCCTGAAAGAACACGGCGTCCCCTTCGTGATCTTCGAAAGAGTAGACTGCATTGCATCGTTATGGCATAAATGCACCTACGACTGCCTGAAACTTCATCTTCCCAAGCGATTCTGTCAGCTCCCCAAATACCCTTAACCGGATCACTACCCGGAGTATCCGCCAAGGCGGGCATTCATTAAATACCTCGAATCGTACGCTGAACACTTTGACATCAAGTCGCGGTTCAACGAATGTGTGCAGTCCACTAAGTGCGATGAGGCCTGCAAGGTGTGGCGGGTCAAGATGGCCTACCCTGACGGCTGAGAAGTCGAGTATATTTGCCAGTGGCTCGTCTTGGCCACCGGCGAGAATGCGGTGTCCGTCGTGTCGGAGATTGAGGGGCTGAAGGAATTCGGCGGCGAAGTGATCCATGTCTGCGATTATAAGTCCAGCGAGAATTTCCACGGCAAGAAAGTTCTGGTCGTCGGCTGTGGGAATTCTGGCTTGGAAATCTCCCTCGATCTTTGCAACCACGACGCTAAACCTTCCATGGTTTGCCGCAGCTTGGTAAGCAAGAAACCCATCAACTAAACGACGACGTAATGCAAAATCGCAGTTGAATTCTAATAAATTTTTCCTCTTTTTATTGTTGTTCAGGTTCATGTACTGCCCAGAGAATTTTTGGGGAAATCGACGTTCGAACTCGCTATGTGAATGATGAAATGCCTACCGCTCTGGCTGGTGGACAAGATTCTGGTAGTCCTGACATGGTTTATCCTCGGAAACAAAAAAAAAATATGGACTTCAATTGGACAATTGGAACTCAAGAATACACGAGGAAAAAACCCATGTTCTTGACATTGGTGCTCGGAAAAAGATCAGATCAAGAAAACTTAATGTTGATCCTTTTTGGGGGTACTATATTTCACAATTGCTGAACCGGGTCAATTGTCGCTGAACTGGGTCAACACCAATTAGGAGAAATGATCAAAAGACCATTTTGCCCGTCAAATTATAGATTAAATATTGGATTAAATTTTTTCGGCCAAATTTGACCGTCAATTTGGCCGGAATGATCAAAGTTGACAAAAATTACATACTCAAGGTACTAAATTGACACTTTTAAAAGTCAGGTGTTGAAATTAACAAAGCCCCTATACTCATGTGACCAAAATTGAAATTTCTCATAAAAAAATTATCCAGAATTAAATTGGTAATTTCTCAATAGTCGAGGGACCATTTCAGTAATAAACTCGAGTTACAATTAAGCAATACAAACTAATATAGTAACACCACATGTGGTCGGAAAAGTGGTTAGAACAGTACCGGTGTTTTTAACTCACTTTTGTACCGTGCACCAGGGTGCACAAAGCATTATTGTGCGCCCTGGCCCAAAACGACGTCATTTTGTACATTTTTCCGTGTCTGCTGTTATCTTCTTAAAAAAAAATCTCATGTTTCGAATGTACAGAATTGTATAATAGAATGTACAGAATTGTATAATAGAATGTACAGAATTTTATAAATGAATACACATAATTTTTTTTGAAAGGATAATACACATAATCTAACATAATACACATAAACTCTTAACATTGATGTGAAATATACCCCGGGTTCAGACTCTCCGTACACTCCGTGATCTTGTTTGGGTCAAGGTCAAACGATTCAGGTCAAAGTCAAACCCATCAACCCTTGGACCTATAAATAAGGCCTTAGCCCTCATTGTTAAGTGTACTTTCCTCTTCACTCTCGTCACTCTCTCTCTGGTATGTACAAATCTCTCCGCTCTCTCTACATACAAAAGAAAAGAGATTAATGAATGAAAGTCTTCTTTGAGCTCATATTCTTGCAATTAGTCTTAGTCTACATACATACGGGGGTGGCGGTGCGACGAGAATAGCAAAAAAGGGAGGAGCTGGATGTTGCATGCATCGAGATTGGGTGAACTTTGGACATAGAATTTGAAAAGGCAAAAAATAAAATAAAAACGAAACAGCACAATGGTTGGCCGTCTGCATACACACCTTGGAAAATGCAAAGTGAATATTTTTAGAGTTGATAAATTTTTATTGTAATTTTAAATTATAGCTTGTATAGGTCAACACTCTTGTAGCTTGTATAGGCTATAGATTTGTACCTAAAACGTAATAGCAATATGTATGTATTCTAAGTCCCGTTAGGTTGGTATTTTCATCATCAACACCTAAAGCTCGGTCAGATCGGCCTTGTCACCACCGGTATTATTAAGTCCGGGTCCGTCTCGACATGGTCGGTATGCCAAAAGCCCTACGAACGTAGGCATAAGCCCGGGTTCGTCCCGACACGATCGGTAGGCCAAAAGCCCTACGAACGTAGGCATAAGCTCAGGTCCGTCCCGACACGATCGGTAGGCCAAAATGTAACACCCCGTGTTACGAGCCCTAAATTAAAACTAATTTAATTATCACCCACCCCAAAAAGGGAATTAGAATCCATTAATTAGCTAAAGAGGGGTCCACTATGGATCATGGGCCCTTGGCCCTAAAAACAATCCCCTAGTCCCATAGGAATTAGAATTAACAAACCCATACCACTTAGACCCTAATTAGGACTCTTAGGTATATAAATAGGGACATAGGAGACACCTAGATCTCACACCACAATAATCTCTCACCACACAAGAAGTTCCAAGAACCCCCTTAGGAGAAATCAAGAACGAAGAAAGCTTAAAGAAAGACCCTTCATAGCCAAGGAAATTAATTAAGGCTAAGAGGTAACCCATGTCTCAACAAAACCTATTTTCTTCGCTATAATCTCCTTCTTTGGCCTCCCTCTATATTCTCGTGTCTTGATGAATTCTTCTATGATAATTGTGTTATGATCTTGGTGATTGAAGAGATGATTTATATGCTTTCTTGATGATTTTGATATTGAAAAGAAGTTCTTGATTTTGATGTGATGATTCTTGATGAATCTTGATATTTCTAGATGTTAAAGATAAAATATGTTCTTGAT